TACAAGTGAGGTTAAACAAATAGGGTTGTCATTTCCTGAATAATGTTTCTCTTTCTGAAATAAAAGTACTATTTTTGCAATTTTCCAGTCATTGGGTGTGACCCTCAAGTTTGTGAATTCTTTAAAAATTCTTACCATTGGGCTTGCAATTTAATGTGCAAAATCCTTTAATATTTTTGGATGGAGATTACCGGGACCCCCAGATTTGGTCCCATTCTGCTAAATTTGGCTTCCACCTCAGATTGGCAATTTCTACTTCTATGGCCTCATTCCCATTAGCCACATTGCAGCTGCCCCAAGCTCCCCCTTACTCTTGTTAAAATCAGAAGCAAAATATTCATTTAGGTCTTGGCCCATATCTAGATGATCTTTAAATGTCTCCCCTAACTACTTAGTGGCCCCCTTGTTTGCTTTTCTTTTATAGGACTAAAAATAGTTTACTATTGGTTTTAATTTCCTTTTGAAAGGTTCAGCTCTGCTTAGTTTTAGTTAGTTCTCTAGTTCTCTTTTTCTCTCTCCACATTTTCTGATATCCAAGGGACAGGGAATATCTGGGGCAAATATAAGGATAATGATTGGAAAGATCTGAATGGTTTACTATACCATTTTTGCTCTTCTATATTATCATAAAAATGATCTTACTAGGTTTCAATTTTCCTGGTGTAACACTTATATTGAGAAACATACACTAAACTAATATTACCACATAGAAAAAAAACATGCTATTTAAACTCATTTTAATCTATATTAATTTGAACATAAGCAACAAGGGTGTATTTACCAACTGGCTTGAAACACTACTGGAATGGAGACTGCCTATCACCTAGAACTGGAAGGGACCTTGAAAGGTCATTGAGTCCAGTCCTCTGCCTTCATAGCAGGACCAAGTACCATCCTTGACATTTTTGGCCCAAATTGCTTCCGCAAGGATTGAACTCACAACCCAGGGTTTAGCAGGCCAATGCTCAAACCACTGAGCTATCCCTCCTCCACATGTCACGTAGTATCTTATGAGAAACTTGGAACAACAATCCAAGAGGTATAGGCCAAGATTTCAGACACGATTAGTGATTTTGGATGCCCAACATCAGGTACCTTAAAGGAGTCTGAGTTTTCAGAGGATGGCTGCTCAGTACTTTCTTAAAATCAAGTTCCTTTGTCCCAAGGGTTAAGACTGAGCCATTGGGAGAGTCCCTCAACCTCTCTACATTCTGGGCCCCCCTTATCCTTCCTATGTCCCAAGGGTGCCATGTCCGTCCATCACCAAGCTGGAGGCATTCAGAGCCATCCTTACCCATATGCCTAGGGCACCCAAAAATTTGGGGTACCAATGGGACTAAATGTTCACCCACCTGCCTCTTCTGATCTATGTTCCATGGCTCTGCTTCCTCCCCAGAGGAACTAGTTAACTTAAGTGAAAAAGCCTGCCGTACCTATTAGCAGAACATTGATCCTTTAAAAGAGCCATTCAAACGGCAATGAAGCCACTTAAAAAGCATTTGCCAACCTTAGGTATATACTATCAGTTTCCAAACGTACTGTGTTAGTTTACAGGACCTTAGTTTAAAATTCATTTTTAAAATATTTTATTAATTTGTTGCTGAAAATTATAAAATCACACCTCTGAAAATTCATCCTTTCCCCACCCCTATGGCTGCCATTAGGCATTAGACACTAGTTTAATAATATTGCACAGGACCCCATAAATCCTAAGGACAGCCTGGAGGCACTCAATCACTCATCATCTTGTCTAAATATTGCAGTGTGGGATGCTTACAGCCCACTCAATTAGCCTCATTAACACTGGCACAAAAATTGACAGGTATTTTTTTCTCCCCCTCTCCATTCTTTTTCTTTTGTAAATTGGGAGGTTCCCCCTTTTTTCTCCACTCATCAGAGGAAGTGGGTTTTGCCCACAAAAGCTCATGATACTATATCTATATCTAGATTGATAATTGTTAGTTTCTAAGGCTGTTAGTCTATCAGCCGCTTTTCTGGAAAAACTTGCCAGCTGTCTACACTGGCCGCTTGAATTTCCACAAAAGCACTGACTTCCTACTGTAAGAAATCAGTGCTTCTTGCGGAAATACTATTCTGCTCCCGTTCAGGCAAAAGTCCCTTTTGCGCAAAGCTTTTACGCAAAAGGGCCAGTGTAGACAGCTCAGATTTGTTTTCCGCAAAAAAGCCGCTATTGCAAAAATGGCAATCAGGGCTTTTTTTGCGCAAAAGTGTGTCTAGATTGGCATGGATGCTTTTCCACAATAAGTGCTTTTGCGGAAAAGCGTCCGTGCCAATCTAGATGCTCTGTTCCGAAAATGCTTTTAACGGAAAACATTTCCGTTAAAAGCATTTCCAGAAAATCATGCCAATCTAGATGCAGCCTAAGGGTACATCTACACACAGCAGTGTTGTTTCGGAATAACTGACATTATTCCAAAATAACACAGTCCACGTCTATGCTACAAGCAATAATTTCAACATAATGTCAAAATAATGTTGATCTGGAGGACTTCTTACTCCTGTAACCCTCATTTTATGAATAAGGGAAGTTGGTGGAAGAGTGCACTTTCTTGGACTTCCTGCTGTGTACACAGTGTCAAAAGCTGAAATAAGCTATTTCAACTAAAGCGACGCAATTGACATAGCTCAAATTGTGTAGTTTATTTCCGCTTTAGCCCTGCTTTGTAGATGTGCCCTAAGGTGCTACAGGACTACTCTTCTTTACTGCAGCTCTGATTCATTTCCTTTTACAAAGTCTTAATTCCTTGAATTTAACAGGTGTAATAACACTTTTGAATCCATCTCTGATTACTAAATCTACAAGAAAGTTTGAAAATATTTGGCTAGAATGTTAAATATTTTCTTTCATTAAAAATTATGATCAATGAAATAATAGCTGAATTTCTATGGATATCAAAAAGGCCTTAATGAGAAAGAAAAGTTACAGTGTATCTCATAAAAATAGTTTTAGACAATTTTTATTGCATGCAAAAAGCACATATTACACAAATTAATACAGACATGAACACTATTGAGATAGATCTTCCATCACCTGACTGTTTGCAATCTGCCCCACCCTTCACTCTTTGTAACATTTAGCCTGACTTAATTTTACTTGCTGCAGGCTGTTTTCCATTGCTTTGCTCCTTTTGACCATCCTGTCTACAAAAAACCCCGTAATTTCAAATGGCATAATCTTTTTACCTTTATTCACCAAGAATTATTCTATAGCTTTGCTGGTTTGGAATGACCACATTTAGAGGGAAGGAAAAATATCCTATACAGTGTCTGATCCCACATTCTTTATTCAAATAAAACTTTTACTGGAGTCAAAATAAATGTTTCCTGAGAATTGACTGAAGGATTAAGTTTGAAATTTGAACACTGTTTTGAGAACTTTTAAGAACAACATTATTATAATTTTGACAACCTGGCACATAAATCTGAAACTTCAGTGTTACATGGAAAAACTACAATGCTTTCATTTGTTTAAAGTTTTTTGTCTTAACATTCCTCTTTTGTGCATAAATATGGAATCTGATTCTATGTAACTTTTAGGAACAGAGAGACAATTTTAATTTAAAGCAATTTAAATGAGTACGCTGTGATTTGAGAAATAAAGCGACTAAGCTTTATTAAAATCCTGCAATTTCTATTGAAATTATTTGTTATTGAAATAATCTTATATGGTCAAAGTAAATGAACATTTTTTCTTACGTACTGAGTTATACAACAGACTTTTTAAAATAGGACAAGAATAATTAATTTAGTAAGTTCTCATAATGTGATCTGGTTTATTAAAAAAGATCATTACAATACAGTGATATGCATCACATCCTATATCCTTTTTGCTTTGTTGCTCTCATTCCTTACCTCTTTGTTGGCTCTGTCTGCTTGCACTAATGTTCCATTCAGACACGGTTCTACATAGTGAAGTTCTTCATTATACTGTGGGGGGAGTGGGAAGATGGAAAATTGAATTAAAGACTTTGAAAGATTTAATTTAAGATCTAGAGCTACAGTAAAACATGCATATAAAGCAAAAACAATAGAATGCAATTCATTTAAAAATTGGGCATAGGATTTTTTTTCCTTCACATTGTTCTTAGAGTATTTCAAAGGATGGAATTTTTAAAAGGGAGGACCTACTTGATTAAATGCCAGAATGCAGGTAGGTTCAGTGAGTACTCTACAGTACTCTACAGAGTTAAATAAACCACACTATAGCCAATAATGCAAAAGTTCTTAATCTTGGAAAGACTAGCTGACAGAAAAACCTCCCAGGTTGGAATCTGGATAGTATTAAGAATTCAATGCTGATACAGTTCCAGTCTTAACTCCCAATCCTCTGCTTCATTTTGAGCAAACACTGACAGATACTTGAGTCAAGGCATGACACATTTGGGGGGGCGGGGGTTAGTGTTGTAGAACTGAGCCAAAGCTCTATGAATCTGAATCCATTCTAGAAATGTTTGAAAGTAATCAGAAATTTGAAGTCTTTGTAAAACTAGGTTCAGTCGCTTGGGCCCAGAGTTTAAAAGATATTTGGTGTTGCTCTGCACATTATTGTGAGGCCTGGGTGACATAGGTAGCTAAAATCTGGTCTACTCTACAGAGCTAGGAATACAGAAAGCAGCTTATATCAATCTAACAATGGAAGTGTCAACACTTAAATTTTGTTTCCACTGATGTAACTGCCCCATATTGCCAGCTTAATACCGCCACTTCCTAGTGTGGCAGAGTCAAAGTCAATGTAGTTAGGTCTACACAGTGATACAAGTGCTCCTGGTGAGGACATGTACTGCCACTACAAAGCAAAGTGTAAACATACACAAGTGATGTAATTATTGTATCATCTGTATGCCAGTGAGAGTTCAGTCGACTTAATTCTGTAGTGCAGATGTGACCTAAGTCCCATTTTCAGAAGTGGATTAAGCATTGAGGATAGTAAGTCCTATTGACTTCTATTAAGACATGTGTGCCCCAAATTTGAAAATAGAGCTTAGCTCTCTAAGTCACCTGGGCTACGTCTACACTGTAGCCTTCTTATGGAAAAGCTTATGCAAATGAAGTTCTGCGTGGAATATCGCTGTGCTTCATTTGCATAATTAATGAGTAGCCGTTTTTGCACAAGAGGCTTTTGCGCAAAAAAGAGCAGTGTAGACGGATCCTTTTTGCGCAAAACCCCTCTCTTGCACAAGAGCCGTTCTTCTCCATTCTTTTTTGAGGAATAACGGCTCTTGTGCAAGAGGGGGGTTTTGTGCACATTCCACGCAGAGCTTCATTTGCATAAGCTTTTCCTCAAGAAGGCTACAGTGTAGACGTAGCTTTAGACTCAGTCTCAAAGGTATTTAGGGTCCTAACCATCTATTTGAGCCTTAGGTCTTGCAACCAGAGATTCTCCAAATACCTTTTAACATCTGGTTATTAGTGTCATAGTATGACTGCTACCCTTGTTCTTCCTTTCCTGTCTATTGTACCACAGAGGTATGACAAGACAAAATATGAATTTGAGGCCTTTATGCTCCAGTTCTGCTTGGTTTCACCCAACAGCTACCAAGTAAATCAGTAGAATAACCGAGACAGCCAATGAAACCGGACAAGTTCAGCCAAAAATATTCAGATAAATCCTTGTATATGATTAATGTAAGTACTCACTCCTCCTCTCCCCATCTCAATGAGGAAAAAAAAGCATCTTGCAATGATTCTTTGTAAAAATGCTGCTAACACAATGTTCTTCTCTCTTTACGAGTCAGCATTGTCCATATCTGACTGGGACTCTGGATTTATTCTCTATTCTCTTTAGCTTTACTCAAGCTCCTTTTTCTCACATTCTGTCTAACCATACACTCCCGGCAGTCTTCGCCTTCTTGGACATCTGTCATCATCATTCATGTGGACACTGCAGTGCTCTCCAACATTCATTCATTAATTACATGATTATTAGAGCATGGGGCAGGGTATTTAATTTGATCAGTGCCAAACTATTCTGGAGGCATTGTGCCAAATTCTGTTGTCAGTTACACAGTAGTGTAACTCTAAAGTAACTCTGCTCACTAACTGCAGTGGATATAGGCAGCATTCAAAATGAGTAAGAGTAATTGGTTTATTGTATCAATGGCATGCATTACCTAGTCAGTGATGCTGTATTCTGTAGCAAGTATGTATACAAATCTAACTATTTTAATGCAATCATACCAATCCATTCTAAGGACTACCACCGAGAAAACCTTAGAAATTACTGCACAGAGAAAATAAATTCAAAGTCACTATTTTTTTCACTTTGGGTTTTGGAGCATGTCCTTTCATCACTATATGTCCTACTTTTAAACCTGATTCTACAGTTTGAGCTATGTGGGCAAACTCTTGTGGAACTGCAAGTTCAAGGTCTTAGAAATAAATGACAATAGCCTGCCTTTATGGATGTCTTGTATAGAGCCAAGTGGACAGTCCAAACTTAGCCATTCAACAATAACAATAGAATTCACCCATCATATTTTAATCATGACTTTTGTTTCCAGGATCTCATCCACATGAGCAAATGGATAATTTCCAATTGCTACAATAGTAGCACTGATTTCTTTCCATGTCTCTTGGCACTATCAGGCAAATTTATCAGTTTCCTCCTTTATAACAAATTACATCCTATGCAGCCTAATTTCTGTCTGTTGGAATTCTGCAGGGTCCCTTTTCAGTACTATTTTGAATTACTCCAGTCATCCCAGATATCCAGTAATCATGTATACCATTCAGATTGCCTCTTGTGTGCTTGCCAGGCTCCTCAGATCCTCTCTAGGGCTCCATTTTCCGCAACTGTGCGGTACAAAAGAGGCCCACAATGTCACAAAGGTTATGCTTTCAGTGCCTTAGCAGTACAAATTTACAGATGGGACTTCCTTTCCAGAAGGGTATGAATATGATTAAGAATGTTCACTCTAGCATCAAGGTTGCACAGAGAGTGCATAGCTAAAACATTCTCATTGTCATTATGTGCATAAGGCATAGACAATTCACTCTTTTGAATCCCTGCCAAATTGTTAGTGGTACTATTTGAGTCTGTGGCTTCTAATTTACCTTGACTGCTTTAGCATAAAAGTATTTAAAGCAATTGTATGTATGGTATGACAAAGAAATTGGATTGTCCTAAATTGTGAATCAAATATTTTATGTAATGGTGTTAGCTAGTAATCAGTGTAAAATAAAAACACTGTTATGTAGCCCTTCTTCCTGTGCTGTTCAGAAACAGTTGTGTGCATATTAAAGTATCAGTTAATTATAAATATACTGCATAATTCATTATTAACACTGTTGTAGAGTTGTGTTGCTCTGGACCATTTGAACTTTGATATTTGCTGCCAGGGGCAACTTACATGTGATATTCCTGTGGGTTTGGTTAACTTGTATAATCATGTGCTGAAAAACACGTATTAGGTGCAAAACTAGATACACAATTTTGCTTTCATGAAGCAAATTAATTGTAACGGTGAACCCCCTCTCTCCTTCAAGCCTAAAACAACCTACAGGAAACCCAAAGTATCAGCTGTCCTCCACATAAAAATACTTTGTTCCAGAATACAGGTGTCTATGTCAGCTGTCCAATCAGATAACAAACTAGCCTCATGATTTAATCTGTAATTTGAGTGCAATCTTCAGTATGGTAATATGTTCAGTACACTTGACAATTTCTGGTAAAGGGCTCTATAATTCTCAATAATATAGGTGAACACGGTATGCATGGTCAGGGCCTTTTTTATGCTTTTACAACAGAGATCCCTATGTAACACATTAAAATGCCACACATCATGGTCAAACACGACAGATAATGAAAATGGATTGGGGAAAGCAGCTGGAGAAGATGGTTGAGCAAAATCAGCTACTTTGAGAGAACGTATCTGTCACTGATCACTGTCTTAGAATGAACTTTAGATACTCAACAGCCACTAGGGGATCACATCCCGCTCAGCTAGGAAGTTGTAACCATTTCTTTTATACATGGGACTTGTTAATGTCACCCAGGTTGTCATCACCTCAAGATTACACTGTTGGAAGATTAGGCAGGAGGAGGAAGGAACACCTTAATACCATTTACAGACTGAAAATGGTGCTGTGTACAGCCACCTGCTCATTCAAGGTGGCTGCTTGTTGGAGTGCATGACATCAGGCTCACAGATCTGGTCTGCCTTCCTGTTGGACTACAGGTGGAGTTTCAGGTATCACACACAGAGCCCTAAGTGGAAGATCCTGCCTAGCTCCTTATGCCCTATTTCCAAACTTACAGACAGCAGAAGAGCATGATCTGAATTTTCTTCAATATCAGTGAGAGGGAGTGCCCCAGGATTCAGGAATCTGCTCTCCCTATCAGTCTAAAATAGCCCAAAATTGAGGACCTGTAACATTACTCCACCTGAATGCATAGTTAGATAAAACGGGGTTGTTAAAGAAACCAAGCAGAAAAAGTAAAGCAATATAATTGATTAGGAGCATCACTTCAAAGACTTCAACCAGGTTTATAGCCATGAAGAGAGACTCCAGAGACCCAACACTAACTAGTGACAGGATTGCTTGCCACAGCAGACAATCTGGAGTTCACAGGATACTGATTTGTTAAAAGAAATACTCTACTGAGACCTTGGTGGGAGAGGGGGATGAGTGGTCAATGGCTGCAGCCTAACAGAGACATGTACTGAGAGTCAGGGGCAGGCCTACTGCCAGGGGGACCAAGGAGGCAGTTGTCCCGGCACTTTTAAAGGGCTCTTGCATCAACTGACTTAGTAGTGTCTACTTTACCAGTCTTAGCTGATGAACTCCACAACTCTATAATGAATTAAGCAAGGATATTGAAAATCCAGATATCCTCCATTCAATGTAAAATTGTGTTATCTCTTAACTTTTACTTACCCTACCACAACATTAATTATCTAAAGGGAAAAGAGTAACTTCTCTGGTGA